AGAGAGGGGGAGCAAATCCTCCACCCCCGCCTCCCCTACCCTCTCCACCTCTTTCACCTTCATCTTCACCATCTCCACCTGCCAAGGAGCATGATGGAGGAAATGAGCCCTGCTTGCGGCGTCTCTTATCTCGGTTCACCCGCACTATGTCTACTGCCTTACATGGGGGAAGGAATACTGAAGGCTTAGACATAAAAAGGGTAAAGGAACTGGGAGCAAAAGAGTTTTATGGTGGTGTTGATCCTGCTGAGGCTGATGCTTGGCTTACCGATGTCGGGATATTTGAAGTTCTCCAGTGTCCTGATGGAGATAAGGTTCGCTTGGCCACCTTCCTGCTAAAAGGGAATGCTTACCATTGGTGGAAGACAGTTCGAAGAGGGTATGCAAACTCTGCTGTCATTACTTGGGAAGAGTTCCAAGGGGCATTCTTTGATCAGTTCTATCCGCATACTTACAAGACTACGAAGAAGTCTGAGTTTCTGCATCTGAGGCAGGGTTCTATGTTAGTGTTCGAGTATGAGCACAAATTTAATGAGCTGTCCTGGTTTGTACCTGAATTAGTAACCACAGAAGCAGATAAGTGCCTTCGTTTTGAACAGGGTCTGTGGCTCGATATTCAGGCGGTGGTCACTGCTACGACGTACCCTACCATGAGAGCCTTGGCCCAAGCAGCAGACAGGGTGGCGAAGGCGTATAGTCTGGGTGCCAGTATTGGTAGGCGTCGCAGAGGCTCATCTGGTTTTGGTGGGCCCAGTCAGGGTCCATCAAAGAGGGGGGGATCCAGCTCCAGTTCTGCGAATAGTGGTTGGTCTGGAGGACATGGGACCGGTTCCAGTAGTGGGGGGTTTGGTTCTCGACCGTTCTGGAGCCAGTCCTCGGGACAACAATCAGTGGGCAGTACAGCCAGGGATCCTCAGAGGCAGTTTACTGCAACTTGTTACAACTGTGGGCAGGCAGAACATGTTAGGAAGGATTGACCGAACCGTGGGCGGCGCAGCCGGGGCAGGGCAGCAGGGCTCAGAGTCGGACACAGAGTGGTGCATCGTCGTCTGCGGCGGGTTCGTCATCGAGTAGTGGGGTGCAGTCCACTTTTCGGAGCAGAGGCGGTAGGGGTCAGAGGGGTCAGTCTGGACGCTCTACTACGCAAGCCCGGGTATTCTCGATGACACAGCAGGAGGCGCAGGCGACACCCGATGTTATCACTGGTATGATCCCTATTTTTGGTTACCTTGCTCGTGTTTTAATAGATCCCGGGGCCACCCATTCCTTCATCGCCCATAGTTTCTTACCTTATGCCAGTGTTAGACCGACACCCATGGCAGGGAATTTTAGTATCTCATTGCCTACGGGCGATGTTTTGTTTGCGCACATGGTTTTCAAGGATTGTTATGTCCAAGTGGGTGATGCCATGTTGGAAGCTGATTTGATTCCCTTGGAATTAGTTGACCTTGACATTATCTTGGGAATGGATTGGCTGGAAAAGCATCGTGCATCGGTGGATTGTTTCCGGAAAGAAGTTGTGTTCAAAAGTCCTGGACAACCTGAAGTAGTATTCCATGGAGAACGTAGAATTCTCCCATCTTGTTTTATTTCTGCCATAAGGGCAAAAAGGTTACTCAAGAAGGGCTGTGTGGGATACTTAGCTCATATCATTGATACTCAAGGGTCCGCTTTGAATCTGGAAGATATTCCTGTGGTTTGTGAATTTTCAGATGTCTTTCCTGATGATCTTCCTGGTTTGCCTCCCCAGAGAGAAACCGAATTCACTATTGAACTTCTCCCAGGAACGAATCTAATTCATCAAGCCCCTTATCGAATGGCACCAGCAGAATTGCGTGAGTTGAAGACTCAATTGCAGGAGTTGGTGGATCTTGGGTTCATTCGACCTAGTGTTTCCTCTTAGGGTGCACCAGTATTATTTGTAAGGAAGAAGGATGGAAGTATGAGGCTTTGTATCGATTACAGGCAATTGAATAAGGTGACAGTGCGTAATCGATATCCTTTACCTCGAATTGACGATTTGTTTGATCAGTTGAAGGGTGCCAAGTGCTTTTCCAAGATTGATCTGAGATCGGGATATCATCAACTCAGAGTACGAGAAGATGATGTTCCCAAGACAGCATTTAGAACTCGTTACGGCCATTACGAGTTCTTGGTGATGCCTTTCGGATTGACAAATGCACTGGCAGCGTTTATGGATCTCATGAACAGAGTGTTCCGACCTTATTTGGATTGCTTTGTAATTGTGTTCATAGACGATATTCTGGTTTATTCCCGAACTTTGGAGGGTCATAAGAAACATCTGCGATTAGTATTGAAGACTTTAAGAAGGAAGAAGCTTTATGCCAAGTTTAGTAAATGTCAGTTTTGGTTGGATAGAGTGGAATTCCTTAGACATGTTATTTCAGCAGAAGGAATCTATGTGGACCGTCGCAAAGTAGAAGCAGTTGTGAATTGGGTGCAACTCACAAGTGTAACAGAGATACGGAGTTTCCTGGGGTTAGCAGGTTACTATCGTCGATTTGTAGAAGGGTTTTCTTCGATAGCAACACCTCTTACTCGGTTAACGAGGAAGGATGTGAAGTTTGAGTGGACGGAGGAGTGCGAGCAAAGCTTTCAGGAGCTGAAGAAGCGGTTAACCACC